AGGCAACATAAATTAGCCACGCACTGACAGAGCATGAAATGATTCTGTCACACTACAAACATAGCTGCGGTGCTAGGTAATGCTCCGAGTCTCTTGGACGTCACTTGCTGGGATCGAAGCACTGTAATAATAGGGCTGGGCGAAACCGAACACCCCCGGATTACTGTAGCTTGCGCAGATGCAACCAAGCCTAAAGGGGCCGAGCAGCTCCAGGGGGGTATTATGAACGGCTATTTGGGTGACGCAGCAAAATGAGGCCCATAGCTGAGATGATACTGGCAGACTGTGATGTTACTTTTGCTAATCCAAAAGTTCTTCCTTTCTTTCCCTTTCAAGCACATCCATGCGCGAACACACACACACGCACGCACGCACGCACGCACACGCGCACACACACACGCACGCACGCACGCACACGCGCACACACACACACACGCGCACACACACACACACACACACGCACACACACACACACACACACGCACACACACACACACACGCACGCTGGATCCCTGGAGTGCAAATTCAGCCTCTGTTGACTCAAACTGTGAGCATACCTGTGATGGGGGTTGACTAAAACTGTGTGTGTGTGTGTGTGTGTGTGTGTGGGATGACATGACATTCCTAGCCTGCAGTGGATTAACTCCAGGACCCATCTCCATTCCAACCACGGCCTGATCAAATACACTGAGGGACAGATGTCAGAACTCCAGGAGTTTCAAATGTCCGCCCCCCTCATCTTTCAACCTCCTTCTCTCCTGCCAAGCGGAGCGAGGGCTTGCACACGCATAACGTGCAAATATGTGCGAGGGAGACTTTCAGCCTCTCAGCGAGCAGTGCAGTGTCAAGGATGAATGACAGGGCATGCGTATCGACAGCTGAAAGCGGGAACTAACACGCTTACCCTGAATCTGTCCTCCCAGGGACTCTGCAGCAGCTGGATCATCTGGAGAGGATTCCCCTGCTCCAGAATGACTGTGACTCTTCCATCCTCTCCTCCTCCTCCTCCTGCAGCTCCTGCACAGTGACCTTTAAGCTGTGGAAGTGTAGAATAACTGTGGGTTAGTCACAGTGAAGTAGAGCAAAAAAAAAAAAAAACGGATCAAAATCACTGTTTGATTTTGCATTTTTTACTCTGCAGAAATTAGAGAAAGCGACAGGCTAAAGTGTCTTAAAGTGAATTGAGAGGACATGATGTTCTGTCTGCAGCTCAGACTTGTGACAGTGAAATCAAATTAGCCTAGAGGGGAATGCGCTCTGTATACTTGTGAAATTGATCGGTTGAGCCGTTGGACACACCGCCGTCACACGCCTGCTGGAGAAACAAACTGGCCGGTTCAATTCAAAACTAGTTCTAAATTGGGCTGTAATGATTTGAGTGAATAAACTCTGTGGGGGTTTCAGATGCAACCAGGGATTGTAGAGGGGACAGAGGCACATTGTCTGCTCTTCCCAAACTGGACCCAAAGGTCAGAAGAGGGTCAGTGAATTTAATTTAATTACATGGGAAGGTCCTGCAGAGCCAGTGAGGCCTTTCATTCAGTTCAGTGTGTTTGAGACAAAGGAAACTGTGAGCAGGGGAAGGCCTACATGGATTATGGAAAATCTTAATAACAATATGCCAGCATTAGCTCCAGTGTTTTAAAGTGAGCAGCACTTCTAATGATCTACTTTCCAACAACTTTGCTTTAAAATATATTGTCTATTATGTTGCTTTGGCATTTGGACAGTATCGTAACCTTAAATATTTAAGGGTATCAAACCATTTTAAAAGTCTTTAAATGAATGCCCACAAGGCAGACAGAGGGAACACTTTACCTTAATGACGTTTGGATGCTGCAGCCTCTGCAACAGGATTATTTCTTTCTTCAGCTTGTATGAAACGAGCTCTCGGCAGCCTTGAGGGTCTCTAAAATCCTCCACACACTTTCCCATGTCTATCCCCTGCTCATTGACGAGTTTTAACGCTACCGGCTGACCTCCGGCTAGATTCACTTTGACAACCAATTTGGTGTATCCAGAACCGAGAATCTCCACCGCCTGCATGTCCACCAGAGAGTCACAACCCATTTCATCCATATGCGCTCTCCTGGAGCCATGCGTGATCTCATTCCACAGACTGTAATCCAAAGTCGAGTCTTGTGTTTGGTCACTGTGGAGAGAACGTCGGCTTTCCCCGGGTAGTCCGTTTTCATCATCATCCTCATCATCATCATCATAATCAGGTAAAAGCAGCGGAATGATTTCTTTGCGCCTCTCGTTGAGCTGGTAAATCAACGCCCCGCGGAGGGACGCGAACTCCTCCTCATCACCAGCAACAGTTGCATTTGAAAAGTAAGATATTCTCGCTCCAAAATGCTGCACGCTGCTAATCAAGAGTGACACCAGAATGGAAAGAACCACGAAAGCCAGGAGGGCAGCCGCGCGTAAAGAGTTGCCCATCTCGGGCATTTTCCTCTCGTGGCACGGCTACTGCTGCTGAAAAGACGCACGGCCGCAGGCTCTGGCGACCGCTCAGCTCCAACTGAAAGGAGGCTTGACTTTTCTGCGGCAGAAGCGATCAGCTCCTTATTTCCACCTCCCCGGGAACTCCCTCTAGAGGTGTGTCCTGTCCGCTCGTAACTTTACACCCGCTGAACAACTTCGCAGGAGAGCTCGACCTCATGTTGTCACACAATGCGCGTGATAAAGCGCTCTCCGCGGCTGCTTTTACAACAGCAATCAGTAGGGCATGTAGCGTAAGAAGAAACCACGTGGGAGAATATTAAACTGTGTGTTTTATTTAACGCACAGAGGGGGAAAAAAATCACATTTGAATTTACATTTTGATTACACATTTAAAAGAAAAGTATTTAAATGTGCATGCTGGTTAATTTATTAAAAAGATGATTACAGTCGTATTATGTTGTTCAACATGAAACATAGTTGTTTAGATAGACAGAGGAGGACTGCTGTCACCTTCACAATCTGTCCAACAGGTGGCAGCAAAACACCCTTTTGTCTTCATTCAAAAACAATCACTCAGAGGTGGATTTATTATTGATCAGAAGCTTCAAGAATCAGAATCAGAACCGTGTATTGCCCAGGTATGTTGCACATACAAGGAATTTGATATGACGGGTGGTGCATAACATTAAACAATCAACAACAATCAACACAGTGCAAAAAGTAGAAACATAGTAAAATTTACAGTAAAATATAAAATAAAGTGCACAAACAAACAGATAACAGGACTATAAACAAGTGAGATGTAAGTGTAATGTAAAAGTGTAAAGTATATTTAAATAATAAACCTAGAAGGGATGTGCAGGGGAGTGATGGCAGTTTGTTGATGAGCCCAACTGAACTGATTATAGTAACATTTTAGGTTTGCACAAGTTCACAGAAATGCCCTGCTCTTTGTTTCCACACAGTCGTTTTCTATTTATTTAGTTGTATCTTTGTTATTTATCCAACTGTGTTTTGTTTCACAGATCTTTCGGCAGCACTGAAGCTGTAATGAAGCGTTTCCCTCTGCATCACTACTCACTGGCAGAGATCTGCCACAGGAAATTATACCATGGCTGTCACCTCAGTACCAGCCAGAAGCCAAACACCCTCTCTTCAGCCTCTCATTATATGTGTGTGTGGTAGTACGTGCCTCTCAGGCTTTGAATGCATGTGTATTTGGGTTGTTTTTTTTCTTGTGTGTGTGTGTGGCAGCTACAGTGTAAGTTAATCAATGTCTGAAGTCAACAAGGCATTAGCCATGTCAGCTGCAACACAGGCTGTTGAGAAAACGCCATGCCAACCATTGACACAGCGAGCCTTTTATTTGAATCTGAGGACAACGTTGCATAAACACAAAGACAAACAAACGGGCATGAAGATCACGAAGAAAGTCTAAGCTCAAAGGTCCACTCAGCGTCATCCTTTGGACATGAAGGATAAACCTCTCTCCAACACAGATTGACAGCTGTGATTAATTCCCACTCTTCCAGCAGCTCAACCCATTTACGATGAATCAGTTTTGAGCATCATGACTCACTGAAGCACGAATAGATATAAATTATTGCGATAAAAATAAAGATGTCTCTGCTTCTCATTTAAAAACATGAAATAGGACTTTCATCTCTGTCATACAAAACTTTCTCACACCCTTGCTCTCTCGATCTTTGCCTTTCTTCCAATAAATCATTTCCTTTTTTCCCAAAGTGGCCCCTCAAACACAAGGGCCCAGTGCCATGATTCATATTTATAACCAGGCCGCCTCATTAGCAGAAAGTCACACAGGTCTGCTGTGTCATGGTTTCTCCTTTATTTTATGCTGGTGGGCTCTGGCTCTCACTTCTCTTAATAAAAAACCCAAAGTCATATTTCTTTTTATCTTTTTTTCCATCTTCTCTTTTCTCTTCTCACTTCTTTTCTGCATTATGTTAAAGATAGACCAATTGATGCAGTTCACCCCATTTTTTTCTTGGGCAACAGTAAACTTTTTGTTTTTTTGCAAGTGTTCAATCAGTCCAGTCATTCAAAAGGGATTATTCACAATCTGGCAACCCAAACGTTGTTCTTATCACTGGCTTATAACTGATCTATAAAGCAGCTATTAATCATTAACAACACATTACAACTTGTAAACACCATATATAGCCTCTTATTTGTCTTATTTGAAACATGTATGTTAATTATATTTTTTGATACTGTGCAGTTGATCTAAGTCTCCTCCTTATTGATTGGTAAGCCTATTGATTTAAATAAAGGAGACAATACTACACAATACAATTACATTCTAAATGGGGATTAGCAGCATCCCTGTCTGTGCACCTTCACAACGTACTCACTAAACAGTGACTGTAGCTCCTGTCTGAGCCAATTAAGCAGGCACTAAAGCACACTATCCGTGACTTGGCGCTCCAGCACCGCGGCCGGTTGGATAGCGACCAGGCATCGTCCCCAGCATCACCGCGGCTCCGCCAATCAGGGCGAAGCTCGGGGCAGATTAACCCAAACAGCCCTGGTGCTGCTCTGTAGTACCAGCGTCAGAAACAAGCTCCTGGTCCTCGTGTACTCAGTCTGGGCAGATGGGGACTGTTTGGTTAACCCAATTCTAAATAACAGGAAATTCATATGCCAGCCTTTTATTTTTTTGTATTAGTTTTAAAGCGCAGTCAGGAGGGAGATGGAAGCTCGCTCGATAATAGGAGAAAGCACGGATGCGATAGTGATGGATGGTTCTCCTACAGACGAAAGGGGGATTCAGCAGCCTTACCAAAGGTGAGTTGCTTTTTCTTATCCGTGCATTTCTCTGGTGCGTACCGTAGACAAATACATGACATTACTAGTGGTCGACGTGGATGCGTTTTAACCCTTCTGTGGCCGATGTGAGTATCGTTCATCCAGCTGTGTTTATGCGGTGGACAATAGGATTATGCACATGATATGATTAATACTGTTGCTATTTTTTCCATTACATTATTATAATTGGTATTTCATTTAATTTGGCTGTTGTCAACTTACTTTTAAGATTTTTACGTTTGGCATTTTCAGGGCAAATATCATCATGACTCAATCCATCATTTGACAACCTATACGTATTTTAGCACTATATGTTAGACAAGAGCTGGTACTTTGAGTGATAGTTTATCATCATATAAAGAAAATGTTATGCTCTTATTGTTTGCCTTTGACATAAGCTACTGTAGCCTATGCAGTCTCACACTCACAGTTGACTTGAGAACTGGAAGATCTGTTCAATGTCATCAACGTCCTGCTGGGTCGATGTCACCCTGTCACTCACCCACTGCTGCTTTTTATACATATAAAAAACAAATAATACTCAAGGCTCTTTGTCCTCTAAATAACACAGAAGCTGTCTTTTTAGGAAGGTTAACACTTTGCCTGCTGCATACAGCCTGAGCTTTTGTGCTTTTTGTCTTGTGTGTGTGTGTGTGTGTGTGTGTGTGTGTGTGTGTGTGTGTGTGTGTGTGTGTGATTGGCAGTTGAGGAGATGTTTGAGGACATGACATTGACTGGCATCCGGAGAGTTGATGTAAGAGACGTGCTGTTAAAAGGAAAAGAGACAGAGGCAGAGACCTAAAGGCAGATGGAGGAGAGAGTAGCGAGCGCTGAGAGTCTTAAGCCAGTTATAGATATTTTTTGATTCTCCTTGCTGGAGTCTTTTGAATGCCTTACAGCTCTCCTCAATCCCTATTCTTATATCTTAAATTAGTGCACACAAGATCAACTACACCAGTCAAACTTTGCTTTGAAAGGTTTAAAATTAGTCTTAAGAACATCTTACATACCAGAGGAAAATTGCTAATATTTACGTAGCTATTGTACTGAGGCACACATTTGACGTACATGTACTTTACTCATACTTTACAAACTGCGTTTATTCATCAGCTAAAATTAAAGCAGTCTCATACAACAGCCCAGTAATAAATCTTACCCATAGGTTACAGTCTTCGGTTTCAGAGAGATGTTCATTTAACTTTGTTGTCATTTTGGAGGCTGTAGTTTGCGGTGCTGTTGAATTATAATCTTTAAATACTGTGAGGTGTTTCTAATATTTTGTCTGCCCTCATTTATATGTCATGGGTGTTTTATTAGTTTGTTTAGCTAATGACTGTATTTATAATGAAATGAGACACTGCACTATACTCTACTGCTTTGATGTTTCTCAGATTTATAAGGTCATTCTGACGTCAGTGCACAATGCAAGTGTTTTTTTAAATCCCGGGTGTGGGGAGCAGCTCGGTGACACCTTCCTGGATGTATTTTTGTATTCATCCAATGAAATATTAATGAGTATCACAAATTGCTCTCCTCATGAGTGTGTGTGTGTGTGTGTGTGTGTGTGTGTGTGTGTGGTGTGTGTGTGTGTGTGTGTGGGTGTGTGTGTGTGTGTGTGTGTGCCTACGTTGGCAGTTCTGTGAAGAACCATCAAAGGGGAGTAATGGGATTAAATACTGAGTGGCTGTCAGTCACAGGTTACACAGTACCCGCTAATACTTTAGCATCTATTTTACACGCTTGGAGTTCTGTAGCGATGGAGTTTATCATGCTTCAGTATTAGAAACAGTGTTAACAGTGTTGATTTCCTGTTACTTTCTATGAGTGTATTTATTCACTCCAGCACCTAAATAGGTTCAATTAGATGACAAACATTTGCAATGTGCCTACGAGCTGCTGAGAGCACTGTGGCCTGTTTATTATTCAGATCATATTACAGCTTTATTGTAATACGAAGACAAAACAGTGAGATTCAGGTCCTCGTTGAGCTGCACCACTAATCCCTCTGCTACTGTATATACCAACAAACCAACAGACTACACTTCATCCGTGCACCTTATTATGGGATGCAAATAAAACAGTGTGAGGTCATTTAGGCTCTGTTGACTTACTCTGTCGCCATGGTGACAAAGGAAGTGCGGTTGGATCCAGTCTATTGTGGAAAATCAAGCATGTGGCAGTTGACACAGACCTCACGGCCCCTCCAGAGAGATACAACCAAAGCATTCCTCAGTAAATCAGTTCGGTTTATTTATATTAGCTTAAATACAATGAGGCTTTATGACTTCTTAAAATCAAAATTCTGGAAATAGATGAAATAAAATTAAAGTAAACGATCCTATCTGACTGGAAATCAGGACTGCGGTCAGATTTAACTTCTCGATATAGACAGTCTCCCCCTTAAGTTTGGGGAAATAATTTTCTGTGTTGCCTGAGAATATCGTATACAGTCAGATTATTCTCTGTATCAGCTCGTTCCGCCTCTTCAGTGAAGCTAAATAATGTTTACACCCAACACCTCGTGCTTTTATGGCAGCTGGCGACATCTTTAGTATCTTTTAATTTAAAATAAAGTTCTGTATTTGTATTTCATAATGTAATTGTTTCGGTATGTTGGTATGTGTTAATATGGTAGAAAAGGAATGGAATTAAATTCAAGATTAAAAGTCTACCGTCATGCTATCGGTTGTATTTAGGCACAGCGCTAACATCGTAGCTTAGTGTGTTTGCATTCTAACATCTGCTAATTAGCTGTAAACACAAACCGTAGCCGAGACGCTGATGAGAACGTCATTCGTTTAGCAGGTGTTTGGTCATAAACAAAAGTACTGGACATTGAAGAGATAAAGCTAAAAAGTCAGGGGACCAGCTAAGTTATTACAGTTCTTCCTGAGGGGAACATAAATGTCTGGAACAAATTTCATGGCAATCCATCCAATCAATTTCACTCAAAACCACAAATCCAAACCTCATGGCACTTGTGGAAATATCAGGGGATCACCAAAGTCATTCGGATTCATCCACAGGGAAACATGAATGTCTGCACATTGTTATCAATCTATTCAATCGTTATATTTCAATATGGACCAAAGCGGTGGGCCAACCAATATGACCGTCTCTAGAGCTAGCTGCTAGTGTGGCTCACAATAGATATGTTTGCAGCAGTTTCATTTTCCTACAAACGATAGTGTAGTTAGAATGAGACAGGAATACATTTATTTAAAACATATCATTTATTCCAGGGTTCTCCTGACTGCAGGAGAGTCTTCACTCACTCATGTTATCTATCCTGGACAGCCGCCTATACCTCTTTCATTACGGGGTCTGTGACATGATGTGTAAACAGTCTCTCAGTCTCTCTTCTACTTCTTTCACTCGTAGCATCCCTTCTTTTTGAATTTGGGCCTCCTTACTCCATCAGCCAAGTGCCTTACCCAAAAATCTGTTACTTACCTCATTAGCTCTGCTGGCCCGCTCGACTAGATTGTTAAGTTTTACAAACATTGCCTTCTGCACGGTTTCCCTGACTGAACTCTTCAGTTTTTGTTGCTCCTTTGTCTTTCTTGCGTACCTGTCAATCATTTCTACTCTCTTGCAGCCATATATTCCCTCTCTTCTCTTTTTCATGCCCTCTCACCCATCTTTCTCTCCTCAGCGAGATCCCGGCAGTGTCTCTGTGCCCTCCTGACAGCGAGTGTTCAGCCGAGGCCCAGTTGACAGTCATCCAGTCTGAAGGGGAGCTATGTGACAGCTGCAGCAGCCTCAACAGACCCTCTTCCTCCTGCCAGCTTTATCACCAAGTATGCCTGAGCACTGACTGTACTGTGTGCTGTTTGGGATAGAAACTTGGGGACTCATTAAAACAGAAAGGTTAGAGATAGATTCAGGATCTGGGAAGCAGGGGCAATAAAAGTCATTGTATCGCTCAAAAGACTTGAATGATACCAGAATCCAAAAATATACACAATTTCTGTGATTTATATTTTCCATGTGCATTTTCTATCTTCCTTTCTTCATTAGGTCCCCCAGTGTTCTCAAGCTGGAGCCTACAATTCGCCACATCCCCGAAAATGTCCCCACTGCAGCCACTATGGTCCAATCAAGCCAAACACCTGCCGCGACTGTCATTCAAACACAACAGGTCCTCATCCTGAAGGAGGCGTCGTGGTGAAAGTGGAACATAGTTGTACTTCTGCCCATCAGACGTCTCGTCCCGGCGCGGTGAGATGTCATTGGCTGCGAGGGTCAAACGAGAGCAGGACACAGAAACCGACGCAGCGGCATGTGGTGACAGTAAGGTGTGTTCAAAAGACTTTTGGAAATATGCCTGTTTGGGTTCTGGCAGAGAGTTAGATGAGATGATTGATGCCACCCAGAAGCCCGTTAGCTTAGCATAAAGACTTGAAACAGCTAGCCTTGATCTGTCCAATCCTTCTGTGTTTACATTTAGTTTTTGTATGGATTTACCAAATGAGATATAATGTGTTAACCAGTGAGCTTAAGAAGTGCTGGTAAGTTTATTTTTTACCTTTGGACAGAGCTATGCTAGTTGTTTCCCCCTGTTCCCATCCTTTATGCTAAGCTAAGCTAACAGACTGCTGGCTGTAGATACATATGTAATGAGCATTTTGTGTGGTATCTTTATTCAAATTATTATAAACAAAGTTCTCAACTGTTAACAAGGACGGAGGACTGTACTACATCCTGAGAAAGTAAGTATTCAAACGAAGTTTCACTGTAACAGCCTCTTTTAAAGTCTCTTCTATTTTGTTTACAATAATTATTTTTTACTCAGTGCCATGTCTTCTTCTTCTGTGGTTTTCTATTTGGCAGTTATTCCCAGGTGATAGTGGACTACCCGTTAGCAGTGTTGGTGGGTTGTGCCGTGCTGCTGCTGGGATGCTCACTAGCGGGACTCTTCATTGGTCCACTGCCAGACTTCTCTGACCCAATGCTGGTGAGTCTCTCTCTCTCACACACACACTTACACAAAAGGCACACAGTGTCTAAAATGTAAATCTACAGCCCCCCTTGGTGCAGCACAAGTATATCTACTGTCACCCTTCTGTCAAGTCTACAACACAAACCTCCCTTACCACCTTAGGCTGAGTGTTAATTACTGTTTCTCTAATGACTCATGATCTCAGCCGTATCTATTTACTTGAGTATTATCTCGGATTCAATGAACTGCACTGAATGAGATCATGCTCGCTGTCGTATTAATTAACTACATCTTCTCACCTTTGAGATGCAAGCTTACAGGCTGAACACTAATTAAAACATCATTATGAAAATGCAACATGTGAATCTTAACAATGCATCGTTAAAGTGAATCTAAAAAGATTTACATAAGAATGAGATATGATGGATTTATAAGTGTGGGGCTCTCTTTTCAAATAACATCAAACACTCATATACCAAACCAGCTAATTTAGACATTATATGGTGCTTGTGATGCTGATTTATTCAGTATGCTGCTGCAGTGCATCAATGAGCACCAGCGTCCACACTGTCTTTAGCTTTGATGTGTGTGTCTGTGTGTGTGTGTGTGCGCGTGTGTGTGTGTGTGTGT